GCTCCCCTGGTCGTTAGTAGTTGCAAATAAAGGGGATCAGGGTTGCCCGCTGCCCACTTCTGGCTGAGCGATGAGCATCCTGAACAACTCTCATGCGTCAGTTCTTCCCTTCGTGAACGTACGAGCATCCAGCAATGGGTGGTGGAGGAAGTTCACTGCTGTGAGATGTCTGCCTGTTCTGCAGCTGTTAACCATCATATGGCAGAGTTTTCATGCTACAGACAAACAGAGGTTAATGTTAAAGTTGCCTTCTTCACTTCTGGCAGGCAAATGGGAATCAAACACATTAATTTTGGTCCATTAATTTTGAAACGCATCAGCAGAACTGTTGAATCTGTGGGCCGCTACACAGGGCTATTGTTGACGAGTTGTCTTTTAATTCTCACTCTCTGCCTCTCGGTAGGGTTTGCAAATAATTATAGATTTGCAGGCCCGCTGTAGCTGACAGCTAAGAGAATGTCATGTTTGACTGGCTGATTTGGTCAGCTTTGCCTTTGTTTCTTGTTGCAGGAGACATCTCACAAAGCTTTCCCTGATCTTCAGCCACATGTTGGCTGAACTACAAGCGCTGTTTCCCAATGGTCAAGACCAAGGCAGGACATACCAGATGAGCAAGCAAGAGCCGCAGGTCTTCTGGAGGAAGATGTGGAGAGAACGGTAAGCCCCTGAAAACCAGTCTTAGAAGGACCTTACAACTCTTTCCCGTTCAATGAGATCTCCTTCTCATCATACATCTTCCTCTTCCTCTCTGTGTCCTATCTCTCCTTCCATCGATAATACTTCTTCAGAAGCTCTTCTTGATTAACATATTTTCTTAAGTCGATTAGTTTTCATTCAATGATTTCTTGGAATTGTGTGCCAGTTAATAGTTGGACTGTGACAAGGCCTTGGTTTTTGTTTATTATTCAAGCAACAATATAAATATAATACTGGGACCTCTTGGTCTCTGCCCGTCCAGTGAGATCACAAATCTCCCTCCGTGTTCCATCCTTGAAGGAATGTTATCCACAGAGTTCTTGAGGTGGACCTTCACAATCATTGTTCCTTTCTTTGGAATATCTTTCCCCTGGAGATTCAATTAGCCCCAATTCTACCGGGATTTGGAACAGCAATAAAAACTTATTTCAACAGGCCTTTAAAGTGGAGGCAAATTTTATTTAGATTCTCTCCTGTTGGATGAGTGTTATTGACTATCGTTGGCGTCATTCTTCAGTTTTGACTAGATTCTAAGTCCTTTTTGTTAATGCTTTTGTGATGTGATTATTGATTTGTTATCTTTATTACTTTAATCCTGTTTATCTATAATAGATAGGATTGAAAGCCTCTCAGAGTTGATGTTCGATAGGAGTGGCACATCAGCCCAGAAAAATAAAAAACACTTAAATAAGTTATTACCCTTTCATAAGCCCTTCTGAGGCATTGTATGCCGACCATAACAAGGAGAATCATCAACCATTGAACTGAAATGGTTTAATGATCATCCCATGTTCCCAGACCTTGGAAATGGTAGATCTATAAGAAGGTCTATGTATCTCTTTCTTGGATAATTTTTAGAGCTCCCTTCCCACAGTTCTTCGTAGGTTGCTGAAACATGCATGTTCGAGCCCATAGTGTCACTTGGACTCACTTCAAAATTCCCCTCAGCCCCACTCTCGGTTTAACCTACAAACCCATAACCTTTCTTTGTTCCTTCTCCATAGGAGCCTGGTTTCCTGGTCAGAATTTCAAAAAGGCCTCCAGCAAGTACATCCTGTAGATTCAGGTGCAATGGCCATAGCTCTGAGGTCTACCATTGACCTGACCTGCAGTGGCCATATCTCCATATTTGAATTTGACATCTTCACTCGCCTCTTCCAGGTACATCACGGGAAGCTATGCACAGTATTTATGTTGAACGCTGAAAATGAAACACATGCCTCAGGCATTAATCCTCAAATACAAAATTATCAAAATCAGAGTGTTTGAAACAGGAAGAATCTTAGGAGCAAGCAAGCTGAATTTGGGGTGAACTTAGCAACCTCTTGGTATAGAATTTTGAGTTTTCATTAAGTTCATTTTCGGTATCTGTACCAGGAATAGACAAACTTTTGGTGGCTGGGGGATGCAGGTTTTAATTTTGTAGAAAGTAATGTAAGGGTCATGATGGGTGAATTTGTCTCTTGCAAATATTCTACTTCGGTTATTTGCATTGCATTTCTATACCCTTCACGGATTTGTGGCTTCTTTGATCCTCAGTTTCCTTCAAAAGGGAAAAAAACCCAAACCTTGGGATCTGTAATGTGATGAGAGAAAATATAGAGAATTTGCTTAAGCAATCTTTTATAGAACTACAGGTGCCTTCCTGCAGAGCAAAATTCCTCTTCCATCAGTTAGTCCTCATTTTTTGAAATACGCACGAAATGAGACACCTTTTTCTCTCTGCTGGATCGTGAACAAAAACTTTCCTTTGCAACGGGGGGGGGGGGGGGGGAGAAAGACCGATAAAAACCCTGGGTTTTCCCCCACCCCCTTGAAAACGAACCCCTCTTTGCGCAGTGGGATCTTTTTATGCTGGG